TCTCCTGCAGACCAGTGGATCCAACAGGAGTGGGCCCTTGCAAATTCAATTTTCAAGCACTAATGTGTTTGCCTGTGTTCTGAAATTTCAGTCTTTGCTTGAGGTTTGCTGATTTCTCTTTGCTTTCCTGAGAAGTTGTATGTGTGATGATCTGCCAGCCTTGCATTCTGTTCTTAGCTGTGTTTTTAGTACAGTCGGGGTATCTGCTATTTTTTTGAATGGAGATTAAAGATTACTTGGGCCGTATATACTTGAAACTTGGTTACAGGTGGATTCACTGTATTTTTATAGGTTACTCCTGAATGCCCCTTCGTAAAGTGTGTTTGATGCCTTGGGGCTGGTTCGATGGAGTTGACCTTACTTACCCAAAAAAGAATATCCAGTTTTGACCTCTTCAAAGCAGGGTTGAGATCAGTTGCTGTCTCACTCCTTTCCTAGACTTTACAGTATTGCAGCCAATAAGCATGTCTATGTGATTGATTGTTATCAACTTGATAACAATGGAGTTACGTGGGATGTGCGGTTTAGGCGCCCCTTTCAGGATTGGGAAATGGAGGAAGCTTGTGTTTTTTTGGATACGTTGTATAGGCAGAAGGATATTGGTAGAGGGTGTGATGATATTTTGTGGGTTCCTTTAGCTCATGGTAGGTATGGTGTCCGATCCATGTTCTTGTGTTTGTCCAATTTCGTTGGTCACGAGTTTCCTTGGAAGTCTGTTTGGCATTCTAAAGCTCCTCTTCGAATCGCATTCTTCGTTTGGACTGTCACATTGGGAAAGATTTTGACATTGGACAATTTGAGAAAGAGAGGCAACATCATTGTTACTTGAAGTTGTTTATGTAGAGCTAATAGTGAATCCGTGGATCATATTCTTTTGCATTGTCCTGTGGCGTATGATTGTTGGAGCTTTATTTTTTGCATGTTCGGCGTTTTTTGGGTAATGCCTAAGCACTCTCACAATTGATTAACGCTTGGAGAAGGTGTCCTATTAAAGAAAAAGCTCGTGATTATTGGAGGATTGTTCCACATTGTGTCTGGTCGTGTTTGTGGCGTGAGAGAAATAACAGATCCTTTGAAGGAAAAGAATCGTCTTTAGCTAATTTAAAATTTCATATTCTTCGTTCTTTGTTTTGTTATGTAAGAGGGAAATGCATGCTCCTCGATTGATGATTTCTTTGATCTCTTGGATTCTATTGGTCCCTAGATCTTTTTTCTTCTTGTATTAGGGACACGTTCCCCTTTTGAACGTTTTTCTAGTATATTTTTACTTATCAAAAAAAAAAAAAAAAAAAAAAAAAGCAGGGTTCTCAAAGTGGTGAACTAGGTACAGACCTAATGTCTTCTATATACATGAAGGCTATCTCATACTCAAACACATATTCTTGTACTTAAAAACCTAAAAACCCAATTTTTTGGTATTACATCAAGCTATTGCCCAAATTGAAACAAAAAACTGAAAAAAGTAATGTGTGTGTGTGTGTATACATATATGATATAACTTGTGGACTCCTTGAGCAATTTGAAGCGTATACATCAAGAAAATATTAGATTCCTTATCTTCCAACTTGCCCCACCAAAGTGTCCTCTATCTACTATTAGAATAGTTGGTCTTTCATTCAAAGAATAGCTACGAAAACCAAGCAAGTGTAGAATTATCCTTTTAGTCAGAGTGTATATCTCAAAATCTATTCTATTTCTCTTTATTTCATCCCTATTTTCTTCTTCAACAAATATTCCACTTCATCACCAACATTTGGACAAACATTTATCTACTTTGTTTTATGAACCCTAATCATATTCCCTTATTTCAATACAGTTCTAGAACTTAAGAAGCTTAGGTTATCCTGCATCCAGATTCCAGAAAGAAAAGTTCAAGGTAACAAAGAATTACAAAATGTGTATCAAAGACAAGCCATTAATGATAGGAGTCCCTATCCCTAAGAAGCACTCCAAAAGAGAAGTCCTCACATTTGCCACCAAAAATGTAACATTACACTTGACACCAATCCCATACAAAGTGTTAAGGTATTAAAAGGGCCAAAGTGGTAAAGGATAACAAGGCAACCGAAGAGAAAAGCAAAGACACAAACCAGTGTAATTACAAGAAGGTGATCTCCTCGAACGTTCAAGTTTCTTGATATATAGGCTTTAATGAGATTTATATAGGACTCTGGGGGCTAAAGCCTAAGGACTAGGGATACGCAATCAAAGGGGAACCTCCATGCTGCATGGTGAGGTACTCAAAGTAAGCAAGGCTTACAAGCCAAATCGCTAGAGTAGGCAGTTCAGTTGGCTATTAAGTCGCATTACGCATTGTGCAACACTTGTCTTTAGGACACTAAGGACATTTGTTCCCTAGAATTAGCCAAGGTAGATGGTAAAAATCTCATGCAGTGTGAGAGCTGTTATGCTTAATCATACCCTTGTCCATCTACCAAACCAAGAGCCTCAAACCATCCCATGACCCCTAAGACGGGAAATTACATGCCATTGCGAATCAATAGGAGAAATGTACCTCCTAGACATCTTCAACAAAAGAGGATATGTGAGATGCAGCCTACGATCAACAGTACCAATCCAAGATTTGGACTCTTGAGCCCTCCACTTACCTAAACAAGGCATCTACTATAAAGGATAAGAAAAACTCTTCTCAAGCTGAAAGGGCTTGAGCCGAGGAGAAACAAAAGTCATGTGGGACCCACCATGGTTGGAGGGCGCCACATGGGTCCCTCTACTCTGCTCAAGCCGAATTTGGCTTGAAAAGCATGGTCATAAGGAGACTTATTTGCCAAGCCCAGGAGCAGCATTTCCGCGGCATCCCTTGAGGCCATGCTTCTCACAGCATTGCTAGTGTTTTCCTTCTCTCCCACAAAGGATGACAGATTTGACTTCATTTTTTGTTTTTCCCCTTAAGGTACAATATGATTATACTTGTCTAGCTAGGCCACATATGGAGGGCATGAAGCATGCAGAGGAAACACGTACAATAACCCGGGGGGGAAAAAAAAGGTAGCATTTAAAAGAACTTTTTAAAAGAAAAAACAAAAGATTCTTGAAAGATTCAATCTCCCTCCCAAAAACTCCAATAAAACATAGGCTCGTAAGACTGTGTGTCCAGTGATTTAGAATTTTACGCTCATAAGACTATACCAAAAGACACGACATTCTCATACAGAAAGCAACTCATCTAATATGAAGAAATGGGCTACTAATGCTAAAAAGATCAGGAAGATATGTCGATATGATCATTTAAATTATTTCTCTAATCCATTTGCTTAATTGTCGCTTTTTCTTGTTTCCGAAGTCCAAAGATCAGTTATCAAGAAATGGATTTTAAAGCTAAAAAGAGCGGTTTTTCATAGCCTCTTCTACAATAAATAATTCATTTTATAGCTTTGTTCTTGCCATTTTGTTTTGTACTATTTTAGTTTTACTTGAATCTTCTTTTCCAAGCGACTTCCACCTATCCTCTTCCGATCTCTAATGTAACTCCCAACTCAAACACACCCACATCAATATTTTTTCTAGCATATCTAATGGTGACTTTTATTTTCTTTAAGATTTTTTTTTTCCCTGAATTTTCAAGGTGCATTATTTTCTTGTAAGTTTTAATGCATGGTGCTACCAAAGAAATGATGAAATATATCTGCATAATGCTTTTCAGGCCATATGCTAGTTGTTAATTTATATGTTACAAATATTACTTGTTACTTTATAGTCTACGAATAATTATATAATTATATTATATTTATGCATTTGAAATGTTAATACTTTTTAATGTGAACTGTTACCATACTTCAAAAAAAAATTTGGACAGACGCTAGTTTTTACTTTCTTTCTTTTTTTCCTTTGGTAGGTAAGTCATACACACCCATTTATTGTCCCATTGGGATTGAACCCTCAACCTTCCATTTGGAAGGAGGGGGAGATACCACTTATACTAAGCTCTTGGTGGTTACTTTTCCATCGTTTCGAGTTATATAGACCATGGCTTTTGCTTGTGTTAAGAAGCTAAACATGCAAAAGAAGTTTGTTTTTTAGTAATAAAAGAATGCTAATTTGACCTGAACTTTTTCTTCAGGAAAAAAAAAAAAATTTGTTCTATTCTAAAGTGAATGTAGTGAGCCTAAAAAAACTCACTGGAGTCCCAAAAATCATATTTTGGTTCATACAAATATAATAAACATGAACAAACGGTTGGAGTCATCAGACACCTCATAATAAGACCATAATCTTTCAAACAGTAAAGAACTTTCTTGGGAAAGACATTTATCCAATAATAATAAATAAATATGACAAGCCATAATAAAGGAGCTTAGCACTTATTTCCTAAAAGAGTATTCAAAATACCTTAAATTACTAGAAAATTGAATTGATGGATTCATTGACAATTTTCCATGCATATACTTGTTAAAATAAATAAATAAATCTTCCCTGCATGTATTTCAGAAAATGACTATCCTTCAAAAAAACAATCCCCTTGTTTTTTTTACTATTAGATTCAAGGATCCAAAAATCCAATTCCAAGATTACTAATACTAATGTAACTAGAGTGCATCAGACTTCTTATAAAAAAGAAAAAGAATAGGAAACTTTATCTTCCTCAATTTAATACCTGGAGACTTGCTTTCTCCAAAATAAAAAGGTAGCTCAATGCACGAGGCTCCCGCCATTGCGGCATCTGAGTTGGGTAAGATATATGCAGCCTTACCTCCTCATGCAACTTTACTGTTGGGCCATATGCAATTGCTTTCTCCAAAATATATTAGAAATCATTTTTTTTGTCTAAATTTATGAAGAGACCACCATCAGAAGTACAATAAGATTTATATAATAGCTGCAACTACATGCATAAAAAGACTTGTTACTTTTCTAACACTTCATATAACCTAAAGAATTCAAGTTGCATCTGACAATATCATCACTGTATAACTTTCAATCTCAGGATGCCTTTTTGCAAATGAGCATGGTAACATGGTTAATCAAAAGCATTCATTTACCTACTCCCCTTCTTTGAACCAGATACCCCATCTTTGGAATTTCCACCTGCCATCCGCGAATGAATAAAAAGGCCCATATTTTTATTAATGTATCCATGTAAAATAAAATCACTTATTTATCCATAGTGTGTAACAAAACAAAAATAAATCAGGAGATCAACTAAGTACTTAAGAAGTTTAAGTAAAAAGTCACAAAAAATTCTTAATCGCACTGACCTTCAGAATCAACCTTCACTCTTTCATTGGGATTGATTGTTCCTCCTCTAACAAATGCCTTTGACCCCGGCGCATTATCCCCTTGAAATGACTCCACGAACTCTGCGTATAAACGAGCTGTTTCGTCCTCTGCCCTCTGGGAAACGAGAATTCCATGACATGACCAATAAAGCTCTTTTCTTTTTATAGTGAAACAATCAGTTTAGAGGGTTATGTTAAAAGCCATACCTTTTTCTTTGCCTCTTCCTCTTCCCTGTGCTTCTGAAAAGGCGTCTTCTTCCTTGTAATCGAGAATGAACTCATCTTTTCATCAAATGCTGAAACAGCAAATCACAAAGTGCACCCGAAATTCAAATCCCATATCATAAATCTCCAAAAGATATGCATCAGAATTCAAAACCATATATATTCCACTATCTAGAAAAAACTAGTAGTATATTTAACACAAATAAACCTACATCATCAAGGCAATAGTACTTTCTCTCTTTTGCCTCAAATTCAAACCTAATCTAACATTCAATTCATCAATTGGTAGGTTGCTTTTGATGTGGCACTCAGATTCCGTACATGTTATTACAGAGAAACAACAACAAATATACATATATAACATTACGGTTGATTGCGATATAACTCACCCAATACAATTTCAATCACCGCCGAGAGCGAGAGAGAAGTGGGCTTCAGCTAGAGAGCGGAGGGGGGACAGAAAGTAGCAAGATCAGTCAGACACGACGACGTTAGGGTTTTATTCGAGTTAAAATGCAATAGGTATAACAGGGAGAAAAAAGCAAAAAAAAAAATGTAAGTCTTTAGACTCATATTTTTGGTTGAATATAAATAAATAAATGATTTGGGGAGTGCAAAAAAACCTTAAACCCAAAAAATTAAACCGGATTGGACTGAATCGGATGGTTTGGGCAGATTCCATAGGGTTCGATTCGGTCATGGTTTCAAAATAATAGAACCGTGAATTTTTTGTTCAGTCTCAGATTAAGGTCCTATATGATCGGACTGACCAGACCAAACCGTTATAATATGTATATAAATATATGTAATATTTATATATATACAGTTATACCTATAAACTATTCTTAACTTTAGAAGGGACTTCGGTACAATGATCAAACGGGAGCCGACATTTATCATTATATAATTTTTAGGGTAAAGTGCAAAAAAACCCCTTCAACTATTGGCCATGTGTAATTAACCCCCTGAACTACAATTTGCCCCCTTGAACTATTGAATTTGGTGCAATTGACCCCCAATGTGACATCTCCGGCCAATTGGTGTAAACGAAAATAGTAAAAGACAATTTTACCCCTGTATAAAGCCACGTCGTTTCAGAAAATTTTAGCAACCACCAGCTAAAAAAAAAGAAAAAAATCAGGCCATCGCCGTGAGTCAACCATGGCCGAACCAGCCCATCACTGTTCAGCCCACCATTCGAGCTCGTCCCCATTGCCGTCTCTTCATTCGCAAGCTCATAGCCGAAGTCGCAACCAGCTCATCGCCGTTCAGCAGCAACCAGCCCATCGCCGCGAGTCAACCATGGCCGAACCAGCCCATCGCCGTTCAGCCCACCTTACTCGTCGGTCCTCTCCACCATCCGAGCTTTATCCCCGCAGCCGTCGCTTCATCTGAGCGCCGCCGAGTCATCCACGGCCGAGCCACCGCTAAACCAACCCGCCGATCTCACCGCTGCATTTCGCCACTGCCCCTACTTCACTGCCGGTCCATTCCTCGCCAGAGTCACCATCGCAGTCCGGCCCCCTACCGGACGAATCACTATTCCTCCTGATCGACCAAAGCACACAAACAGAGACAAACAGAATTATACAATCATCAGTTTGTGCATATATATGTATATAGAATTACAGAAACGATATAGAGAGAGAAGAGGAGAGGAGAGAGAGAGTGCGAATAAATTGAGGAAAATAAACCCTTATCATCTGAAGCGAATTCTGAGTTATGATATTTGTGGTCATCGAAGTCCAAGTTTGTGCACCTCACGGCCAAGAGTCATCCGTCTACATGACCTGCCTTCATTAGCTCCGCGCCGACCAAAAGCTCATCACACAATCGCCAGATCTATTCTCACAGCTCTTTTATTGTCTCCTCCAGATCCGCCGTGAGCTCGATCCACCATAGCTGGATCTGTTCTCACCGGCTTTTCACTGCCATCAACATCCTCAAGCTTGCCGCGCTGCAAATCCAAGTCCAAGACCCAGATCTATCTCGCCGGTCATTTCCATCCTCATAGCCGGATCTGTCTCGGTGGCCATCTTCATCCTCGAAGGTGTAGTTGTGGGGACGGACGGGACAGTGGTGATGGTATCGTCTGTTTTATTGACGATGAACAGTGTGTATTTAGTATAAGGGCGTGTTTGGGTGTTTTAAGTGGTTTTGGGTGTAAAGGTAAAGGGTTGTATGGTCATTTAAAGAAATTTGGTTTGTCACGTGACCAATCACGTGCGTATTCACGGCCAAAGTCAACCGGCTTATCGCCGGAGGGGGTTAATTGCACCAAATTGATTAGTTCAAGGGGGTTATATGTCAAATTAGTAGATCAGGGGGGTTAATTGCACATGGCCAATAGTTGAAGGAGGTTTTTTGCACTTTACCCTAATTTTTATTATTATTATTTGCTTTTGCTTCTTCCAATGTTTTGGTTTTTAAGTGCGTGCCAACATTCCTTCACTATCTCATTTTTTTCCTTTGCTCCCAGCAACTCATTCACTTCTTTGTTCTAGTCGCTGCGGGATCCAATTGTTGATCAATCTCTCAAAAGCAACCTTCGAAGTTCGGTCATCGCCGTCGATCTTTTATCACTGTTGTCGGTGACATCCTTTTTCTCACTCTTTCCCCCTCTCTCTCACTTTCAGTTCACAGATTTCTAAGTCTCACGGCGTGTTTGTGCCTCAAGCACAACCAACAACAAATCAAATTTTTTAGTTTTCAACCATGGATTTGTCATCCTTTTCAGTTTCAGCAAGATTCAATCTTATTTTAATTTATAGGGTTTACCTTTTGGGTCTATTTCACCAACTTTCGTCTATCTTTTTCTCTCTCAATTTTAGTCTTGGATTCAGGAATGTAAATGTTTTTATTGATATTTTTATTGTATATGCAATTCAAGGGGAAAAAAGGGAATTAAAATTCAACTAGAACCATGAAACCAAACCAAACCAAACCGTTTTTTTCACAATTTGGCCTGGTTTGGTTCCATGGCTCAAATGGTTTAGTTCAGTTTCAGATTTTCTTGAACCGTAGGGAGCAGTTTGGTTCCAAAAATCCTCAAAATTGGATTATATCGGACCGTGTGCACCCCTATAAGTGATGAGAATGTTGTACTATTAAATGATTTAACTATTATTTTTATCAAATCTAAAGGAGCCTTCAGTTTTTAGCTAGGAAGCACGAACACTTCTACAAAGGTGTCGTATCCACGTCATACTCGTGTCGGACACTGACACTTCTTGAATACGTGTCCTACACTTCATATATGTGTCCATAAATAAGATTTAATTTTAATATTTCGGATACTTCGCAGACACTTTTCAGACACTTCGCCGACACTTCTCGGATATTTCTAACATAAGTCTACCCACTAATCTTGAAAATAATATGAATGCTATCATGGCAAAGTAGTTTTTTTTTTTTTTTTCATGACAAAGTAGTGAAATACCCGTATATATGATATAAATATCATTACAATATTGACATAATTTAATTTTCTAATTCATTTAAGAGCAACTCTTAGTATAGAAATTATAAATGAATTAAAGTTTTATAATACTATTACTGAATAGATATATAAAAATAAAAATTTATATTTATATGTAGTTGTGTCCATGCCGTACCGTGTCCTATTTTTTTAAAATTTTCCTGTTGTATCGTGTTCATGTCGTACTATATAGGTTTCTAGAGTTTCACATCATATTTTAGAAATTGAAAATTAGAAATTCAATTTTTTTTAATACCAATTTCAATAAATCACTCACTAATTATTTAGTACATGTGAGATGGGAATTGTACTAATTTGGTATTTAATTATGGAGTATGTCATTAGTGTTGATTAAATATATATATATATATATTATTAATGTAATAATGTATATTATTACATATATATTAATTTATATATATATATATACACACACGCACATTAATAATATATATTTCTCCCCCTCTCACTATAATAAAACTTTTCTTTTCTAATCACACTACAATAAATGTTGGAAATATATTAGAAATAGAATATGAGCCCATTTGAAAGCGCTTTTAAGGAGATTGCGGCCCTGTTTGGGGTAACTTTCAGTTTCTAAAATTCTTTTCACTGAATCGACTTTGAAGAATGCATTTTGATGAAAGGAATTTAAAATAAAAAAGTTATTTGGTGGGTAAATTTTTTAAAGCTCTTTTAACTATTAACATAATTTAAGTTGACAGTTATATCCTTAATAACCTATGAATAATACCAAAGAATTGAATCGGGATGTACAAATACACAAAATAATAATAATAATAATTAAAGTGATAGAGTGAAATTACCGATGATGCATCAGCAATTAATTGGCATAATGAAGATCCAGGTATACAAATTTACCCGATTTACATGGTAGAAGTTTTTTTTTCCTTGACTACATGATAGAAGTTGTTGAAAAAGATAGAAAAATAAAAAGGAAAAAAAAAATAAAGACAAAAGTGCGAAAAAAAACCATGAACCATTCACTTTGTTGCAAATACCCCCCTGAGATTCACCGAATCAACTTTTTCGGCGTGTGTAAAGCCACGCGTCTATTGAAACTATGAGAATGTCGAAACTGCCCTTTTTTTTGTGAATGTTATAGCCTTGTGTCCTATATAACCCATTTATATGTCATCTTGCCAAATTTTGTATTAATTCTTTCTTTGCAATTGGAAAGGGCTTTGGACAAAGGTGGGTTTTCTTGTCCAATTAAATTTATTTATAATACATATATATTAGATTTGAATATATATATATATATATACACTTTTTGTGTTAATTTTTTTTCTTCATATGCATAGTAGTTAGGACTAATTTATTTTTATTATTATTATTTACGTGCTTGCAATATCTATTATAGTAGTGATATGGAGCCATCAATCAATTCATCAAATCGACATACAATGTATGAAGGATAATATTGCTATTGTGGAGTAATATCTCCTTTGAGAAGAGTTACGACACAAAATAATCTAGGTCGAAGGTTCTATGGGTGTGGAAGGTATCTGATGATGTCTTGTGATCCCTTAGATTGGTGGATCCTGAGCACAATGAAGTTCATAGAGGATTTAATTGGAACCATATGGAAAGAAAACTGGCTATGAGAATCGTATCATCTTTGAAAGGCCAAATTGCTAGGAAGTTAGAAGATGAAGCACTGTCTCTTGATGGGAGTACCAATTTTGTGGGTGCACAACCTGTACCAAGCAATACTAGGAATCATGTATTCACAAATTTGACTGTTTTCATGTAGGGATTTATAGCATGTGCTATTGTAATGGTTACTGTATGGTTATTTAGTAGAATATAATTGTAATGGATTTTATAATTAATTAATATATT